TTTTGTAACATTTTTTCAAATTTGTCATATTTTTGGCATATTTTCATTTTGAATTAAACATTTGGTAATATTTCTACAGTTAACAAAACTAAGTAGTTAGGATATCACGATATCATATACAGATCGCATTTATCGCCCGATCCTTAGGAAATTTTGCATGGAGATAAGATGAGGGTCAGAATAAAAGCCTATTCTTTTTGGAGATGTTCGCCATATATTTAGAGGTTGAAATGGACCAAAAAACTGCAAAATTGTCAGCAGGTCGTAATTATGGGGGTTACCGGACATTGCAAAAGCCAAGCAGTTTTGGATGGCCATTCAAAAATATTCAATGTGTGAAGGCATTTGCCAACTTTTGTAGACAAAATACGAAAATGTCCATTCCAGTGACTTTTTGGAGAATTCACAAATACAGGAAAGACGCACTTCTGACTATTTCGTTAACGCTGATTTCGTTGAAGAATATAGTCAAATGTCTGTATCTCATATAGATGCGTTTCAGTCAAAAACCAATAATAAATGTTAATCTTTTGCCACTTCTGAGAGATTATAGGTCTTTGGGAAATATTGCTTCCAGATCTAGGAAGACCATTTAAGTGCAACATCTACCAATAAATTGGAAATGAGCAGATTAGTTTAAGTTGCTATTATTCGAAAATTAAAGAACGAAGCTGATGGTTTTCTTTTATTATTTGTCACAATATCTTGTGGAATTCTTTCGAGTATCTCGCCTATATAAACTGTATCGTTTATTATAGTGTTGTAGGGTATTCAACGGTCGGCCCCGCTCGACTGTAGCCTTTGCTTACTTGTTTTTTTTTTTAATTTTGTGAAATTGACTGACGAAAATTTTGATTTATTTTCTAAAATAAAAAAAATAAGTATATCGCGTTAAAGCAATATGTAAAACCTTTGGCATTGCTGTTATAATGATTTAAAGTAATTTTCAGCAGACTTCCTGAGAGATAATTTGTTGTGTAGGATTACAAGTGTGTAATTAAATTGTTTAAGTCATATTAACGAAAAATCAACTCTCAACATTATTACATTAAACAAAAAACAAAAGAAGGCACGAATGTGTGCAATTACGTTCAACATTAAATGTTCAAAGAATTGATACTACGCTCAAACATGCTATGGAGGCTATATAAATTTTGTCTTTCCGTTTGTAACTCCTCAAAATACATAATCATGTTAGATATTACGATGTATATACAGAGTGACCAACCAATTTCAGCCTGCTGTCATTTCGAAGCCACTTGTCCGACAGCTGTTAAAATTATTCCAGTGACAGCTTATATATTGTTTACAACCGTGCTAAAGCATTGTGGTGAGCATTTTCCAGAAAAAAGTTATTCGTAATGGATTTCAAGCGTCATAGAGTGATTTCTTAATATTTGGCTGGAAAACCACAAGTGGCTATCGTTAGAGCACTCCAGCATTTAAATGAGAATAAATATTTTGTGTCTCGAACCATCGCTCGTTACCGTGATACTGGTTGCGTAGCCCAACGTCAAGGAAGTGCACGGAAGAAAACAGCAACACCAGCAGAAATGGTTCGAAAAGTAAAGAAGCGACTTGATCGAAACCCGCGTCGCAGTGACCGAAAAATGGCTCGTGAGCTGAACATATCGCAATGTTCCTTTCGGAAATATTGAAAAATGAGCTCGGGGTAAAGCCATTGAAATGAAGAACTTACACCGCAACAGAAAGAAAATAGACTCAAAAGAGCTAAAGAGTTGCTTCGCTTGGCCGAAAGTGGTGACCTGCCGAATTTAGTTTTCTCCGATGAGAAAATGAGTTTGCACACAAACAGAATGATCCTGTTTACTTGCCAAATAGGTCAGCTGAAAATGTGCATCTTCGGTTGGCCACCAGAACTCAAGCGCTCGCCATGGTGATGTTGTGGGCCGTAACAGCCGATGGTCGCTCTCCGCTCGTTTTAATCGACCGTGGCATCAGAATAAATGCCGAATATTATCGCGAAAATATTCTGGAGGGTGTATTAAAGCCTTGGGTACGCAAACATTTCGGCCGCAGACCTTGGTCATTCCAACAGGACTCAACACCATCGCACTCAGCACGCACCACCCAAGAATGGTTACAAAATGAGGTTCCTCGCTTCATTTCCAGCGCACAATGGCCACCGAAATCTCCGGATACCAATCCGTTGGACTATTGTGTCTGGAGCATTGTGGAAAGCAAGCAAGCGCTTCGCCGAGAATGGGTCAAAACACCGCAGAGCAACAATCGGGCAGTGTGTGGCCATTCGTGCCAAAGGTGACCAATTCCAGCAAATCTAAACTTTTTCTAAAATTTGATGCTATTTCCGACATTTTTTGCTTTCATTCAATTAAATTTAAAAAAAAAAATTAAAAATTATGGCGTTTGACTTTGTTGCAGTTTTTTTATCTCACTCTGTACATAAGTTTTCAGAATTTCAGCTCTATTCTTCACCCAATACTAAATTTAGTATTTATACCCTACAACACTATGTGTTGGGGGTATTATAAGTTTGATTGGGCCAGAATTTATGTAACACCTCGAAATATTGGTTTCCCATATAGGAAAGTATATATATATATAGCTATGTATGTCCGTCCGTCCGTCTGTCCAGGTTAATTTGTAATTACTCTACAGGTTGCATTTATGGCCCGATCTTCGCGAAATTTAAAATGTAGGTGGGATTAATGTCAGAATAGAACCCTATTTATTTTGGAGATGATCGCCAAATGTTTAGGGGTTGAAATGGACCAAATACTGAAAAAATGTCGGATTTTGCAGTAGCTATACAGGTCGCAATTATAGACCAATCGACGCGGAATTTCGCATGTAGCTAGGGTTTAGGGCGGGGAAGAAGCCTACTAATTTGGGTGGTCATCGGATAATATTTAGCGGGTAAAATAGACCATATCTTTTGTGTTGAAGAAATTCAAAATTGTTCATTAAACCGCGAATATTTTAAATCCCGGCGAAATTAAAAGCCATGACAAGGTTACTTCTGATCTTTACATTGATGTTAACATCCAACAAATCGGATATATAGCAAAATATGTGCGATATATGTGTCTATCAAAGAAGATATGCTTGAAAGATCTCTTATATGTCGAGAACGGCTGAACTGATTTCGACAGTTCTCATTAATTCAGAATGGCCTCTTGGCAGGAAAGAAAAAACATCTAAAAAATCGCATAAAAATATCTCTCTTATGATGAAAATATTGATTTTGTAACATTTTCTCATATTTTTTCAATTTTGTCATATTTTTGGCATATTTTCATTTTGAATTAAACATTTGGTAATATTTCTACAGCTAACAAAACTAAGTAGTTAGGATATCAGGATATCATATACAGATCGCATTTATGGTCCGATCCTTACGAAATTTTGCATGGGGATAAGATGAGCGTCAGAATAGAAGCCTACTCTTTTTGGAGATGATCGCCATATATTTAGGGGTTGAAATGGACCAAAAACGACCAAATTATCAGCAGTCGTAATTATCGCCCGATCCTCACGCACATTTGAATGGGGGTTACCGGACATTGCAAAAGCCAAGCATTTTTGGATGACCATCCAAAAATATTCAATGTGTGAAATAGTTTGCCAACTTTTGTAGACAAAATACGAAAATGTCCATTCCAGTGACTTTTTGTAGAATTCACAAATACAGGAAAGACGCACTTCTGACTATTTCATTAACGCTGATTTCGTTGAAGAATATAGTCAAATGTCTGTATCTCATATAGATGCGTTTCATTCAAAAACCAATAATAAATGTTAATCTTTTGCCACTTCTGAGAGATTATAGGTCTTTGGGAAATATTGGTTCCAGATCTAGGAAGACCATTTACGTGCAACATCTACAAATAAATTGGAAATGAGCAAATTAGTTTAAGTTGCTATTATTCGAAAATTAGAGAACGAAACCTGATGGTTTTCTTTTATTATTTGTCACAATATCTTGTGGAATTCTTTCGAGTATCTCGCCTATATAAACTGTATCGTTTATTATAGTGTTGTAGGGTATTCAACGGTCGGCCCCGCTCGACTGTAGCCTTTGCTTACTTGTTTTCTTTTGAATTGTAGTATATATTTCTAAAACCACCCCCATATCTCATTTAAAGGTACCAACAGAGACGTCAATATCAATTTTTAGAACATTTTTGTACTTTTCGTACCCGTTTGGAACGAATTTCCAAAAACCCAGCCTTATCAAAAACTGATCCTTGTGCATAATTTTAAGATTCTAGCTTCAGGCGTTTCGTCTGGGCGTTGATTCTCATTTAGTCAGTTATGGGTTGGGACCCAAAAAGCCTAATGATGTCACACATTAGCAAGAGGATTTTAATTTTACTGGCACCAGACTTAATAGTTTTAAGGGTCTTATACCATTTGGGCAGCCTTCTTAATTGAATCTCTGCTTGAAAAATGCCACAATTATATTCAAGTTTATTTCATGGTAAAATAAGCCAGTTATAGACCAAACGTGTCCATCTCTTATTACATTTAAGTAATTGAAGTCGAAAAAGGTGGACATGAAATCGTCATTCAGACAACATTTTTGGAATTCTATTGTAAGTGGGACATATGAATACCAATTTATTCTGAGTTTTTCAAGAATCCCTAAACCGAATTTTGTGAAAGATTTATTGGAGAAAAGTTACCATCTTACCTTTCCAAAAACAATTACTTACAATTGCTGTTCAAAAGTTGACTGGGAATGACTATTCTGAACCACATTTCATTTCCCCCTTTTTAGCAACTTTTGTCATAATATAAACATAGCCGCCGTAAGGAAATCAATTCTCTTAATTCCATGAATACTTTTCAATTTTTTCCTATCGTTTTATATTATATTCCCGACAGTTTCTCACATTGTCATAATATAAATTAGATCGGTTGATTTTTCTTGGCTCTAATCCACAATATATTGATGTAATCCAAATGACAACCCTATTAAGCAGAACATGCCAACACTGGAATACTAATTAGAATTCAATTTGCATTTAACACAGACTTCTGTACAGTAAGTTATCTGCTGAATGACATTTATTGAAAACAAAAAAAAAAAAAATGAAAAATAATTTGAATGCAAACAACAGCATTAGCCAGAGTACGAGATTTGAACATTGCCTCCGTATTGTTGAATGATCTGAGCTTTAATTCGTTCAGCATCGGCCGGTTGGTTGTAGGTAACATAGCGAACCTCGGGCTTCTGATAGACTGGCTGGGCTGCCGGTTGAGTGTTGTATGTAACGTAGCGGAGCTGTGGATTTTGATAGACCTGACGATAGATCTGTTGGCTAGCCTGTTGTTGTATTGGGCGGGGACTGTAATTGGGATCTTGAACTAAAACATAAATGAGATTTTTGGGTTCGGCAGCACTGGGTGCCTGCACGGCTTGTTGCGCATACTGTTGGCGTGGTACCAGACGCACTTCAGGATTTTTGTAATACACTAGATTTTGCTGGAATTTCGGTGGTGCCGGATACGTTTGAGGTGCCAATGCTACCGGCCTCTGCTGGATGGGGTATTCATAATGAACATTGTATCTCACGAAATTGTGTTGGGCCTGGTTGGCCGGTATTACCACGGCTGCCGTTGCTCCTAACCAACTTAGTACAACCAAACTACACACCAACTGTAATGATATAATAATTGTTGAGTGAATTTATGCAAATCATTTAAGTAGAACATCAGCACTTCATACCGCACACGAGAGCTTAAATGCGAACATTTCGGTAATTTCAAGTGCCCACTCAAGCGCTTATTCACTGTAACTTCCTCGTTAAATGGTTTGTTATTTGTTTTTTTTTGCTATGTACTCCACTTCACGTCACATCAAATGTAGCACTCCCCGTGTTTGTTTGTCTGCCTGCTTGCCTGTCTGTCTGTCTGTCAAACAATCGAGTAAATCACTCAAATATTCACTCACTGTTTGACACAATTCGTTCGCCTGCAACCGACGATTGGTAAATGACTCTGCCCAGCAGCATGACTTTCTCATTTATTTATTTGTTTTCGAATTAGAACAACATGCATTCACCCCAATAATGCCCAAAATCGCTGCATCATTAATATGCTAATAAGCGGGATGATAAATTTTTACATTGCCAAGATCAAGGTTAAACTCTCTCCCTGTCGTCGTCGTCGGTGGCTGTGTAATATGGAATTCCACTTTGGTATAATGTATTCAAAAAATTCGGCCATAGACCACATAAAGTGTTTTACTCAAAACAAGCAAACGACAACAACATTGCGCCGGTAACCGGTTATGGTTTTTTCTTCTGGCCAGTGGCGTTAATAATGGCGGTGTTATGTGAGGGAAATTAATATTTTAATTATTCATTTCCCTCAATATTTTAATTAGATGAGTTTAGTTTATCAAGTATAAGTATATAAAGTCTTCGGCAAGATTACGGATAACAATGCGAAAACTATTTTGTTCACATATTTTAACTGGCAAACGAGTCAACGAAGTGGTCGTATTTACATGGGATTGTTGCATGTCATAATATTATACAAAATCGGACTCCTCTTTCACATTTTATAAAAGTTATAATTATTCCAAATGTTGGACCTTTGTGGGGAGAAGGAATAGTCCGATACATTCCGTCTTCACACCAGATCTGGTGTTGGTAGAAATATTTGGATTTGCAAATTTTAAAGACAGCCTGACTCTTATTTAACATTTTAGAAGAGATTATAACTTCATATTCCAAGTGTTGACCTTTTGTGGAGGAGGTACTTTATGGAGTGGACCGATATTATCCTTTTACGCACTTGACTTAGCACTGATAAAAATATTGGGATTTGCAAAGTTTGCATAAAATTGGATGATCCTTTCTTGTTATATGAGGTAAATTATTTCCCGTGAAACTGTTGACATTTCGTGGGGAAGCACCAGAAGGAATGGGCCGATAATGTCCATCTTCGAACTCGATCGAAGTTTGGAAACGTTTCCCGGCGATTCGTTCGCAAACGATACAGCTCGGCAACTCACAGCCGAATTACATTAAGGCAATCGTATTGTTTGTGTACTACTGCCATTGAAATATATGTGGTTTTGTTAGTAGTACAAAACGATTGAAAAAACAAGTAAAAAAGCTGTAAGTTCGGCCGGGCCGAACTTTTAATACCCTCCACCATTTGGTACAAATTTGGCAATTTCAAAAAAAAAAAAAAAAAAAATACGTTAAAAATTCTGTTAAAATCTTAAAAATACCGATTGCTTATACGACGACGTGGACCTGCATAGGCAAATTTTGTCATAAGTTATTACAATATTTAAATGCGTAACGTGAAGAAAAATCTGTTTATAATGTAGCTAAAATCATCAAAATACCGAATATGGGGGGTAACGTTATATGGGGGCTATACGAAGACGTGGACCTGCACAGACAATTTTCTGGCATGGGCTGAAGTATCCATTACGAACTTCACATGCAAAATTTGAAACATTCCCGGTAAATAATGTCGCTAAAATCATCAAAATACCGAATATCGGGGGGTACCGTTATATGGGGGCTATATGAAGACGTGGACCTACATGGCTCATTTTTTGACTTAGGATGTAGTATCCATTACGAACCTCAAATACCAAATTTGAAACGATTCCGGTAAACAAGTCGCACAAATCATCAAAATACCGAATATCAGGGGGTACCGTTATATGGCGGCTACACGAAGACATGGACCTGAACAGATAATTTTCTGTCTTAGGCTGTAGTTTCCATTACGAAATTCAAATGCCAAATTTGAAACACTTCCGATGAATAATGTCGCTAAAATCATCAAAATACCGAATACCGTTATATGGGGGCTATATGATAACTTGGACCTACATGACCCATTTACGAATTTAACCTGCCTACTGGCAAAATATACATGTGTGCAAAATTTTAGCCTTCTATCTCATTTTTTTCGAAAGATAGCGTGATTACAACAGACAGACAGACAGACAGACGGACAGACAGACAGGCAGACAGACGGACATGGCTAAATCGTCTTAGAATTTTACGCTGATCAAGAATATATATACTTTGTTGGGTCTGACATGAGTATTTCGAGGAGTTACAAACGGAATTACAAAATTAATATACCCTCCATAGTATGGTGGAGGGTATAAAAAATATTAGTTTCTGACTACGTGTGAGCGGTACGTTATTAGTTTCGTTTGTTTTCATTTATGGTGTTTGAACCAAATCGGATGCACCCTCTGAGAGTTATCATGCACACCAGCCGGTTAGACAGATAGATAGACGGACGGACGGACAGACAGACACCTACAGTTCGAACCCAAATGCCCTGAAACGGATTTCGTCCAAAGTGACCTGAAATCAAAAATCGTTTTTTCGATGAGACACGTGGACCCATAGATACTTTTGAGGATCTTCTTAGAATCACTTTCAGAGTCGATTTATGCATGATAGTCCGTCCGCCTCTCTATGTATTTTTGTGAACAAAATCCGATTCCGATTGAGATGAAATTTGGCCCAAAGATGAACCCAATTGAAATTGGTGAGAATCGGTTCAAATTTAAATATAGATATTCAATCGATTTCGCATTAATTGTGCACCAAAGGGCAAATATCAGTCCAAATTTCCTGGATTTTGGCACATTCGACCGAATTCAGTCTAGAATCAAGTACATCAAGAAAATCGATTTAGATATAGCTATATCTCCCATATATATTTTTCATACGATTTGGGGATTTCAGTCCATCACAAAAGAATGATATTTGGTACCAGATAAATTGTGGAGCCCAAAAATACATCTGTTAGGATATAGCTCCCATATATATATCTTTATCCGATATCAGGTTTATAGTGTAACAAAATGGGTAATATCAGCCCAAGTGCACTGAATTTTTGAAATACCAACTGAATTCGTCCTTGAAACAAGTACTTCAAATTTGGTGGAAATCGGTACAATAAAAGCTATATTCCAATATATATGTTTCATCCGATTTGTGGTTCTAAGTCCCTCGCATGAGCAATATGGACTCCACAACAACGATCTTTGGTACCAGATATCAGATACAGCTTAGAAATATATGTTTCAAATTTTGTCAAGATCAGTTCAGATTTGGAAATAGCTCCCATATATATCTTTATTAAATTTCAGGTTTGCAGTGCACTAAATCGCTAATAATAGCCCAAATTGACTGAATTTTGACATATCCTATCGAAATCATTCTTCAACCGATTTGGGTTAATTGTGCACCAAAGTGCCAATATCAGTCCAAATTACCTGAATTTTGTCATATTCGACCGAATTTAGTCTAGAAGCAAGTACGTTTAATTTTTGAGGGAAAATTGGTTCAGATATAGCTATAGCTCTCGTATAACCATCCGAGTTGGTGTTTAAGTATCTCACATTCGTAATATGCATTCAAAAACAGTTATATTTGGTACCAGATATCTTATAAAGCTCTGAAATACATTTGCAAAATTTTATCGAGAACGGCTAAGATATTTCCCATTTTGCGCATCTCGGTTTCGATATATATTTTTTAATATGATCCTCCTCCAAGTGATATAAAAGCCAAATTTTGATAGATGGTATGATCTACTTGAAATAAGTTCTTTTGTTACGAGAGCTCTACTCAATATGCATAGTGGTGTAAGGTATCATATAGTCGGCCCCGCCCGACTTTTGACTTTTCCTAACTGGTTTCTTTTATGATTTTAAAAAAATAAATTAAATTGACAATAAAAAATATAATCATTTGTGGGGAGGTACCAGAAAGCATGGACATATATGTATTATCCTCGCACAATGTCTAGAACACAGAACTTGAAGACGGACACTGATTTCAAATTAACTATTAAAATTCAAACCAAGGTTGTTGTAGAGTACCGGAAGGAATGGTCCATATTGGTCATCTTCAAATTCGATCAATGTTCGATAAAGATATACCCTTCGAAATTTATCGGCCGCATTGCTATAAATGTCCACAAACAGATTTCGTCCAATAAAAGCGGGGTCTAAAGTCGTTATTTCGTTGATACATATTATGACCGTACCAGATAAAAAATACCCCATTGGGCTGAGGATATAATAAAAATCTTGTTTTTTTGAGAAATATTATCGATACCATCAAGCTCATTATACTCTACAACACTTTGTGTTGGGGGTATTATAAGTTTGATTGGGCCAAAAATTATGTAACACTTCGAAATATTGATTTCCCACATAGGAAAGTATATATGGATCTTCCTATCTCGCCGAGCTGAGTCAATCTAGCTATGTATGTCCGTCTGTCCGTCTGTCCATGTTAATTTGTAATCACTCTACAGGTCGCAATTATGGCCCGATCTTCACGAAACTTAAAATGGAGGTGGGGATAAGGTCAGAATAGAACCCTATTTCTTTTGGAGATGATCGCACAATATTTAGGGGTCGAAATGGTCGAAAAAAATCTTAATTTTGCAGTGGCTCTACATGTCGCAATTATGCAATTATTTATTGGGTGAAATAGACCATTACATTTGTGTGAAATAAAATTCAAATTTCCCATTAAACCGCGAATATTTTTAATCCCGACGAAATCAAAAATGGACAAACAGGTCAATTCTGACCATTACGCCAATGCCGATAATAAATATATCGGATTATATAGCAAAATATATGCAATGTATATATACAAAGGAAGGGAATGTTAGCTAGAATGTTTATATATTAAGAATGGCTGCAGCGATTTTGACAAATTTTGTCAATTCAGAATGCCCTCTTGGCATAAAAGAATAAAATCTAAAAAAATCGCATATAAAGATGTCAAAAATGATGTTAATATAAATTTTTTGGTCTTTTGTGACATATTTTTATTTTTTCATATTTTTTATCGCATGCGATTTTTTTAATTTGACTTAAAATATTGAAGTGTATAAATTTGTAATATTTTTTCATATTACAACACCGGTTGGGGCTGTTATATACAGATTGCAATTATTATCCGATCCTCACGAAAATTTTCACAAGAAGGGATA